TTTTGTGTGAGTAGGAAGTTGACAACCCTATTTAATCCTCAGTGAAGGATAAAATCTTGTCCTCCCTCTTTTTTAAAAATAAAAAATAAACAAAAAATGCAGTTACATACTATTGTTTCTTACCTCAGGAGGTCCGCTCTTCAAAGACTTACCCTTGTGGTTCCTTTGTCTCTGTAAATCCTCTGGCCCATACTTGTCCCAGCCTATAAGCATAGCCTGTCTCCACAGATGTCCATTGTTCTGTGTGCTGACTGAGTTAGCCCTCATGCTTGCCTCAATTTAGGTGACAAACTTTACTTCAACAGTTTTGGAACATAATATTTTGCATATCTCAAACTATTTCTTGTACAAACATCTTGCAATAATTATGATGACCAGTGGAACTCTGGCTTGTGGTAGGAACATCACATGCCACCCTTTGGTGAACTATTATGTAGATATCAGACCCTGGGGATCCCTGTAAAACTCTATGCATCAACTGTGAACCAGGGACTTCTATCTGCCAACTGGCAGAGGGCACAATATTGTTCTGCTGGAGCTCACATATTAGGACTAAAAAGATGGATTAAGTTATACACAGAAATTGGTCTGGCCTAGTCAAAACTGAGGAACAAATCGTAATATCTAATATTCAGCGATAAAATGAGTGTCCTTACTTAAGTTATAAGGGTTTGGGCATACAGACTTAGGCACCGGTGTGACTGAGTTAATTCTATTTAAGTCAGTGGAACTATAGTAGTATAAAACTACTGAAATCAGAATCAGGCCTGTGAATTTTCCATGTTGAATAATATCAAATGGCAAAATTTCTCTTTTATTGTAAAGCAGGTGCAAATTTAAAATGGAATTGTGCAAACTTTGGCAGTAATTCTAAACTTTATTCTTTGGTTACAAAGACTCTAAACCTATACAGCTTTTTCAGGTGGTTTGAAATTTTATCAAGTAGCATTTTTCCCTGAAGGCCTATGACTTATTACAATAACCTGACTGTAAAACTGAAATGAGTGTCAGAACTGTTTGGATATAATGTAGGATATTCTGTTCTCACAAGATTAGAATGAGAAATTAGGTCTGCCACAGAGAGAATTTTTGTTGTCTTAAAGCACGGCTTCATATCATAGAATCATAGAATATCAGGGTTGGAAGGGACCTCAGGAGGTCATCTCGTCCAACCCCCTGCTCAAAGCAGGACCAATCCCCAACTAAATCATCCCAGCCAGGGCTTTGTCAAGCCTGACCTTAAAAATAATCTAAGGAAGGAGATTCCACCACCTCCTTAGGTAACACATTCCAGTGTTTCACCACCCTCCTAGTGAAAAGTTTTTCCTAATATCCAACCTAAACCTCCCCCACTGCAACTTGAGACCATTACTCCTTGTTCTGTCATCAGCTACCACTGAGAACAGTCTAGATCCATCCTCTTTGGAACCCCCTTTCAGGTAGTTGAAAGCAGCTATCAAATCCCCCCTCATTCTTCTCTTCCGCAGACTAAAAAATCCCAGTTCCCTCAGCCTCCCCTCATAAGTCATGTGTTCCAGTCCCCTAATCATTTTTGTTGCCCTCCACTGGACTCTTTCCAATTTTTCCACATCCTTCTTGTAGTGTGGGGCCCAAAACTGGACACAGTACTCCAGATGAGGCCTCACCAATGGCGAATAGAGGGGATCTGCCTCGATCTGCTGGCAATGCCCCTACTTATACACCCCAAAATGCCATTGGCCTTCTTGGCAACAAGGGCACACTGTTGACTCATATCCAGCTTCTCGTCCACTGTCACCCCTAGGTCCTTCTCTGCAGAACTGCTGCCGAGCCATTCAGTCCCTAGTCTGTAGCGGTGCATAGGATTCTTCCGTCCTAAGTACAGGACTCTGCACTTGTCCTTGTTGAACCTCATCAGATTTCTTTTGGCCCAATCCTCTAATTTGTCTAGGGCCCTCTGCATCCTATCCCTACCCTCCAGCGTATCTATCTCTCCTCCCAGTTTAGTGTCATCTGCAAACTTGCTGAGGCTGCAATCCACACCATCCTCCAAATCATTTATGAAGATATTGAACAAAACGGGCCCGAGGACCGACCCTTGGGCACTCCACTTGATACCGGCTGCCAACTAGACATGGAGCCATTGATCACTACCCGTTGAGTCCGACAATCTAGCCAACTTTCTACCCACATTATCGTCCATTCATCCAGCCCATACTTCTTTAACTTGCTGGCAAGAATACTGTGGGAGACCGTGTCAAAAACTTTGCTAAAGTCAAGGAACAACACGTCCACTGCTTTCCCCTCATCCACAGAGCCAGTTATCTCATCATAGAAGGTAATTAGATTAGTCAGGTATGACTTGCCCTTGGTGAATCCATGCTGACTGTTCCTGATCACTTTCCTCTCCTCTCAGTGCTTCAGAATTGATTCCTTGAGGACCTGCTCCATGATTTTTCTAGGGACTGAGATGAGGCTGACTGGCCTGTAGTTCCCAGGATCCTCCTTCTTCCCTTTTTTAAAGATGGGCACTACATTAGCCTTTTTCCAGTCGTCCGGAACTTCCCCCGATCGCCATGAGTTTTCAGAGATAATGGCCAATGGCTCTGCAATCACATCCTCCAACTCCTTTAGCACTCTCGGCAGCATCCTTTAGCACACTGCAGCGCATCCGGCCCCATGGACTTGTGCTCATCCAGCTTTTCTAAATAGTCCCAAACCACTTCTTTCTCCACAGAGGGCTGGTCACCTCCTCCCTATGCTGTGCTGCCGAGTGCAGTAGTCTGGGAGCTGACCTTGTTCTTGAAGACAGAGGCAAAAAAAGCATTGAGTACATTAGCTTTTTCCACATCCTCTGTCACTAGGTTGCCTCCCTCATTCAGTAAGGGGCCCACACTTTCCTTGACTTTCTTCTTGTTGCTAACATACCTGAAGAAACCCTTCTTGTTACTCTTAAGATATCTTGCTAGCTGCAACTCCAGGTGTGATTTGGCCTTCCTGATTTCACTCCTGCATGCCCGAGCAATATTTTTATACTCTTCCCTGGACATTTGTACAATTTTCCACTTCTTGTAAGCTTTTTTTTGAGTTCAAGATCAGCAAGGATTTCACTGTTAAGCCAAGCTGGTCGCCTGCCATATTTACTATTCTTTCTACACATCGGGATGGTTTGTCCCTGTAACCTCAATAAGGATTCTTTAAAATACAGCCAGCTCTCCTGGACTCCTTTCCCCTTCATGTTATTTTCCCAGGGGATCCTGCCCATCAGTTACCTGAGGGAGTCAAAGTCTGCTTTTCTGAAGTCCAGGGTCTGTATTCTGCTGCTCTCCTTTCTTCCCTGTGTCAGGATCCTGAACTCAACCATCTCATGGTCACTGCCTCCCAGGTTCCCATCCACTTTAGCTTCCCCTACTAATTCTTCCCTGTTTGGGAGCAGCAGGGCGAGAACAGCTCTGCCCCTAGTTGGTTCCTCCAGCACTTGCACCAGGAAATTGTCCCCTAAACTTTCCAAAAACTTCCTGGATTGTCTGTGCACCGCTGTATTGCTCTCCCAGCGGATATCAGGGTGATTGAAGTCTCCCATGAGAACCAGGGCAAATATAACTCCATGGTGGGGGGGCACAAAGTCAAACCAAGAAATCACAGAGCAGTGTATTTAAGACTGTATGATCATAAGGGTGAAAAATAATAGGATCGGAATTTCAAACCTAAAAAGTTAATGGAAATTTTGCCATTGACTTCAATATGATTAGGATTTCATCCTTGGAAACTCCCTGAATGGAATTGACCTGAGAAAACTAGGAAAGAACAATTTTGAAAGATATTTTATGTGGGATTCAGTCAGTGGGAGACCAAGCACATGGGTGCATTGAAGACCAGATTCCTTTACCCTTTCTCACAATGAGTAGTAACTTACTTCAGTTAGTTCCATAGATTGCAATGAGACTGCTTGTGAACTAAGTTACTATTGTTCCACATGAGCAAGGCTGGAGGATATCTAAATGGCCTATACAAATAAATGCTCTTGCGAAAAGGGAGGATGCTTTTTAAAAAAATCTAGTCCTAAATCTCAATCTAAATTAGGAGTTTAGAAGCTAAGGGTCAAATTCTGATCTCCTTCACATGAATACAAATCAGCAATTTACTCCACTGAGGTTAATGGAGTTACTTCTGATTTACATTGGTATACATAAAATGAGAATTTTGCCCAATGTATAATAATCCTATTATATAGTTTGTTCTCACAGTAGAATTTATGGCACAATGAAGACTTCTTTATTAATACTAAGCCATGATTTTATAAATGCTCTGAAATAAGAATATAAAAATCGCATTTGGATTATTATATTTGTTTATTCCATTTGATTTGAAAATTGGTAGATTTGACTTCCAAAATGTACAAATAAAGATTTAAATATTGTTGGAGGAAACATTACAGATGTTTTTAATTATGTAATCTTTACACACACTTATTTCTTGGTGGAAAACATTGCCTGGGTCTGCGCCACTTCTTAATATGCTATTTCTTTAAATACTTTATGCTCATATAAGCAAGCAGAATTATATGTAATAGTGAAGAACATGTAAAAAGTATTATTACTGAGGTTCTAAATATTGCTTTCTACAAGGTAACCCTGCTATTTGGGTTCACTACATAAACAGGAATGAACTCCCTTCAGAGCACTAAAATATTGGTCCCTTTTGGTACGTTAACCATTAATTTAAAACTGCTGCTCATATGACTGTGGTAACGCCATTTCAGCTAGTTTCTACGCATAACAAATAATGATATTCATTTTTCTAGGATTTTACTCCCAGAAAATCAATGAGTAGAATACTTTGGAAACATAATTTTCCTAGGTCTTGTAAACCCAGTTCTATTGCTAAAAGGGTATATATATTTAAAAGGTGAAAATAAATACCATTGTAATCCAATGTTTGCATAAAAGTTTCTTAAAATTATTTTCCCTGGGTAAACCAACTATAAGATGATAGTCCTAAAGCAGTTTTCTCATTTATAGGTTCTCTCTTGGTTATTTGGAACTTTCATTCAAATCCTACTGAAGAACAAATTATCTTCCTTTACATAGGGAGTTAAAGGTAAGAAAGATGTTTCCAGGTAATTAAGATAATGCTAAATTTTATGTCTTATCTAATAGTCAAAGACATTCAAGATCCAATGGCCTCCTTTGTCACTCCGTATTTCTTTGAAGAAGCTGGTCCAGTAGTTGCTAGAGGGTAAAAATAAGAACAAACCCTTAGGTCACAATTTGGATGCATGGTTGGGACGCATAGCAGAAGCCACAGTCACCACTATAATTAAGGGTTGCATTAACAGTTTCCATTCTAACCTACTGACCTCAGTCACTCAAAACTTTCTGAAACTTTCACCCTTCAGCCACATATGTTCCTGGTTTGGTCTCTCCTCAACAGGGGTGTGTGTGTGTGTGTGTGTGTAAAACTGTTGATATTTGAGTATGACAGCAGTGAATAAACAATACCTTCCTATTATAAAAAAAAATATTGTGACTCCATGTTTGAAAAGTTCTAGTGTCAAAATAGTTAGGGGTAGAGAACTGAAAGATACAACTGTGCACATCATCTGTACGAACCATCTCATCTCTGGTTCTCCCATTGCACCATGTCCACATGCAGCAGTGCTCACAAACATTTTAGGGCTTTCGGAGTGTTGCATCTATCTATCCCACAGTTCCCAGCAAAGCTCCCTGGAACAGGTTGGGATGTCTATGGCATATAATCTCTATTTGCACCTGCTGATATTTTTTCATTTCTTCCATTGGATACTTGATCTCTCTGCAGGACAGAGGCATCACACGAACCATGAGGCTATACCCTGCTAAATCCTTGGTTTTGCAAATTCATGGCAGAGAGTCACCAGTTTCCCCATAAACACCTGCCAGAGCAACTCTGAATCTGGAGGTTTGGGGATCATGAACTCTGACATCTTTGACTAGTGGCTCTTGAGGAGGTAAGGAATTTGGATTCGTTATTTCATAAATTTACTCATTTTATTATCATTTAACATGTACATTGCATTGTTTTAGTTTTGTTTTTTCTTCCTCTTTTTCTTTGTTTTGTAACCTCACTAATTTTTCCTCCTCTCTTGCATTTCCTTCTACTAGCCAGAGATGGGAGCCAGATGCTCTGGACCTGGGTGTAGAGACAGGGTTTCCCTTTGAGCCCACCATCCAGGGGAGAAAAGGGTGTGACCAGTAGTATTGGAATACAATGATGAAATGGAATGGTCCAGTGGTTAGGGAACTGGCATGGGACTCAGACCCAGATTCACGTCCATGTGTGACCTTAGGCAAGTCACTTAAACTCAGGTCTTCAAAATGTATTTAGAAGCCTAACTCCCATTGATTTCTCCTTTGAGGATCTGGGTCTTAGTCTCTCCGGCAATGTTTACCTACACTGCAGTAAAACACCTGTGACTGTCCTTTGTCAGCTGACTCGGGTTTGGGCTGCAAGGTTATAAAACCACAATGTAAATGTTCAGGCTCAGGGTGGAGCCTGGGCTCCTGGACTCACCCCTCACAGAGTCCCTGAGCCCAAACATCTACACTACAATTTTATAGGCCTGTAGCCTGAACCGTACAAGCCTGAGGCAAGTGACATGGTCCTGCCATGTGTGTTTTGTTGCAGTGTAGACATAACCACTGTGCTTCCATTCCCTGTCCATATAATGGAAATAATAGCACTTCCCTACCTCACAAAGGTGTTATGAGGATAAATACATTAAAGACTGGGAGGTGCTTACTATAGAAATGCATAAGATAGATAGGTGAGTGGGGTTTCTTGGAGGTTATGGGACCAGAGGTATGATTTTAATGCAGTAGGGCACAGTTATAACCAAATTATGCCTATTCACAATGGAACCATTACCTTTTTGAAGACCTCCACACGTAGTCTGTTGCTTTGTATGATTATTCGTTTCTGTTTTTCTTCTTCTTTCTTTTTCACTTCAGGCAAGTTGTTATAAATCCTGGCATAAATTCAGAATATAAAGTTATGATCATTCTTCAGCGTCACCACTAACTTAATTTTTCAAAGTGGAAAAAATTCTTCTAGGTGATCACTGGTGGTATTATGCATTTGTAAATATCTGAATTTGATTTCATACAGGTATATATTAGCAATAACACTGGTATCACAATGAAAGATTTTGAACTAAGAAACTTGAGAAATGGTCTTTATTCTGAAATGATTAACTGTAAGTAGAGGGCCAGGTTATCTCAGTGATGTCTGTGCAATTCTGGAGTAATTTCACTGAGCTCAGTGGAGATAATCTAGATTTATAGCAGTGTAACTGAGACAAGAATCTGTCCCATAAGCTTCTTGTAGGTATATCACAATACAGATTCCAAGCAATAACCTTCAGTGATTGCTCAAAAATGTGTAAGAAAAATAAAATGATAATTATATTAACTGATAAGATTTTTCTCACTGTCACTGTGACCCTTTCACCAGAAAACAAAATAGTCAATTCTTAATGTAATCGCAGTTCTTGGTTACGATCATAAAAGTAACTTTGGGTCTGATCTTTTTACCATCGCAATCAATAGCAAAATTCCCACTGACTCAAGTGGGAGCAGGATTAGGCTCTCTGTAACAAATATCTTCCTACTCAACAATTCTGCTCTTTGTGTATATTCTGATCTAAATCACAAGTATTCAGACTTAATTAGTTTAGTGGACTATAAAACTTTCCTTTCCCCCCAACCTATTTTGAACTACAGAGTCCATATAGCAGTCTATTCTGACTTACACATTATGAGAAGTGTTTTATTTTTAAGGACAGTGGGACAGATTCTGATCTCTGTGACATTAGGTTACATTCAGAAAAACTCCTTGACATCACTTTTTGCATTTTTTGTTGTTGTAAATGACTATATAAGGTGCAAGGCAATGGAGGATCAGACCCCGAAGTATCTAATAAATTGCAGTCTTTGCTGGGATATGTGCTGTGGTCAAGATTTTACAAAATTAGTGACTCTGCCTTCAACTTTTGGGTGCACAACTTAATACACCTTAAAGAGGCCTAGTTTTCACAGGATGAATAAGTGAAAATCAGGTACTTTTAAGGTGCCTCAAATTGGGCCTCCAAAATCACTAGTCACTATTAAATCTTGACCTATACTCCTCTGCAGAAAGACAGTTCTCACTACTGGAGAAAAAAGATTCCTTATTCACATTCAATGCTTATCTAAGAAGTTAACTTCTGCTGTTAACAAGAAAATGCACTGGATTTTTTATGGTAGATGATTAACAACAAGTATGGCAGAAGATGGAGAAAACAGCCTGCAGAATAAGAGCCCTCAAAGGAATATTCGGAAGGATGTGGTGCAAACTTAATTGTGATTTTGGACTTTCCACATAGGTGGGATTGTGAGAAGTGAAATTATGTATTACAGAGCTGAAACTTCTGGTATATTTTGAGGGCTACAATTAACGCACAATATTATCACAAATCTCTAAAATGTTGTTAATGAATAGATTGGAAGAAATAACATTTAGTAAATTACTAAAGATCGATACATGTAAGAGCAAGTGGAGCATTATGGGCCACAAAACGAAGACAGAAGCCTCCCAAATTATACCCCTCCACAGAGGCCAGCCATAAATGCACCCCCTGTGCTCTCTGAGTGCAGGGATGCTCCCTGCCATCACCCCCAGGGCACTAGATACCCCAAAAAGGGGTGTGAGGAGGCAGAACCAAGACCTACACACACTGGGCAGAAGAACTGGTGTCCATCCAAGGCAATGTAAGCTGCACTCCATAAAGGGGGATAATAGAGGGTGTGTTCTCTCTTCCCTCTCCCTCAGTGCTCATAACAGCCCCCAGAAGCATTGTTTCTCCCTGCAGGGGAGAGCCTCCTGTTGCTTCTGCTAGGACAGTACAGCTCCAGACCATTCACTAAGTAGGGCTACAGCCCCTATTCACTCAAGTCATTTTAGGGGGAAGAACATTGTCCATGTTTGTGCATATTGCACAAGGCATGATGTACCACAAACTCAATATTATGATGCTAATTAGGAAGTGCAAAGTCTTGGCACTGGATCCCAGGGAATCAGTGAATTCTAAACTGAAATGTGTTGTACCTTTTAGATCTCATGTGCATCTCCTTCTCCGAAATGAACCTTTCCTTTGGTTTGAACAGGTTATCTCAATAAAAGAAACATATAGTTAATTTCTGAGGAATCTTTATTTAGCATGTTTTAATGAAACAATAACAGCACTGCTTTCCCTAAATTAATTCACATGGTGGTATTTCTGATTAAATCATTGCTGACCTACTGCCTGATCCAGCTTGCATTGAAGTCTAAGGAAAGACTCCTGATGACTTCACCTGGAGTTGAATCAGACCCTTAAGCTGCCCTTTAGAGTGGGAAGAATGGATAAGACCTCTTGCCACCAGTCTCATTACATGGTTCATTTATTTTAAATGCATATAACTTTTGTCACTGTCACAAGCAGCAGTGCATACCTCCAATTCAAGCCATGAACCAGCTGATGATTAGTCTGGCATAAGATGACCTATTTTTCTGTCATTCTTTCCTGCTATTGGAGAGCACAAGTGACTGATTCTCCACTGCCTTGCATCTTCTGTAGTAAATAACATTTTTGCAAAGTGGGTGAGATCCTCTGCCAGTGTCAACTGATTTACACCTGCAGAAACTTGGCCCAGTGGGTGCAATTCTGATTTGACAGAATTTTACACCCACTTTGCACAGGTGTAAATAACTGCACAAGGCAGTGGAGAATCAGGCTCAGTAGTCTTTGCTGACAAGATATGAGGAGACTCTCACAACAACCTCAGCCAGCACTTCCTTGGCCAAGGGGAAATAATTATGGATCAAAATGGTTAGTTTGATTCCTAAGATAGGTAATTTTTATATTCTTCTTTCATAAACTCTTATTAATGCAAAGTAAATGTAGACAATTTAACCCAGACACCTTCCCTGCTCCTGAGTCCTGCCGGTTGACAGCAACTTTAAATTCTGCCCTGTTGTACATATGTGTTACAATTTTATAATAACTCTGCTATCACCTAGGCTTTTAGTAGCAGGGTGGATGAGTAGTCATCCCACTTGTATCAGGAATTGGTTCATGATTTGAGGGTGAAGACCTTACACCTGTTGCAGGAGTGTGAATGTGTTTACAGGGGAATGAGAGGAAGGACTGCAGTGGGAATGCATTTTAAGGATTGTATTGGAAGAGTGGATGGGTCAGGAGAAAAGGCAAACATTACACAAGACTATTATAAAAGTACAGGACACAGTAAACAAAGCAGAGTATAATCCAAATAATTGGTTAAAATTGAAAACCCAATATTTTACAAATTATCATCAGAAAACATTGCTACATATCACTGAAAAGCTGGGTCCTCATATCATGAGTTTCTAGATCCTCACTGGGCCTTGGACCCATGTGTTTTTTTGTTTGTTTTTTTAAAAAAAGACCATCATAGGGTATTTACTAGCAAGGTCATGGCAGGTGGATTTGATTTAAATCACTAGTCAGGAAGACTCAATTAATCATGGTTTTCTACATAAAAGTGCATTCTTGTTGGTTGTTATAGCCTTTAATACATATTCTTCACAACTCAGAGACAGATGTAGGTTTCATTTTTAGAAGGTGTACACTATACATTTTTAAACAGTGATTCATTTTGAAAACTTTTTTCAGATTAGTTTTACAGCTATATCAGAAAATGAATGATTGTTTGGTTATTTCATTTACCAAAGGTAATTGAAGCAGATATTTATGAAGTCATTGGGAAGTGAACTATCTCCCTCCAATTAAACAGGTTAATAATTAATATTTGGAGGATTTTCTTGCCATGCTGTATTAGAAGGAGAACATCAGCAGACATTTAAATTGTTTTATTTAACTAAAACAACAGTGTTAAGTATTCTGGATTTTTTTTCTTCAACAGCAAACATATAATATTTTAACAAAACAAGCATATGTCCCTCGCTTCTCACATTTATCTCCAGATTTCTTCTCCTTGTCCAGATCTATTCCATCCCCAACAATCTTCTACTCATTTAACTTTTTGAAACTTTGCATTTTTAGAGAGAGGTAAGGGATTGACTCTCTGTACACAAATTTGCAGAGGGACAATAGAGTTGAGGTCTGTTATTTCTCACCGCTCTATTATTTTAAAACATTTTTGCTGTTAACAAGCACGTTACCTCTGGAGCCACACATCCACAGTCTGACAACTGCAAAACTAAGCATCTCTGATGGTATCTTCTTGACTGAGCACTGAGTCCCAGTGGTTAGATAGAAAGATTAACCTAAATAATCTATACAGAAGCCTGTGGACCCCCATAAGATTGAGTCCCTAATCCATGAACTATTGGAACTCATTTACAAAACTTTTCTTAAACATTACATGAATATATTGTCTCCTACTATAGAATTGGAATTTATAATCCATATTCCATGATGAGATATCTTTGAGCAATAATGTATCTTAATTAAAACTATCTTTAGGTTTTTTTCCTCAAAAAGCATTTTATCAAAAAAATCCAATATAAATAAAAAAAATCACTGATTTTTATCCACCCTGGGTCAGAGTGGTTTCAGTAATGCAAGTTTACTGGACCACTTAGAGGGATACGGATCAAGGGCCCTATGTTCTCAGTGTTTTGTCATCAAAGCTAGCTTTATTTTTTATGATAAACACATGCATATTACTTAATACCACTGCATATCAAAGGAATGTAGAAGACATTATATTTCACAGTAAGTGACAAATGTGCCTCTCTTTTGTCTCACTACAAATAAGAGAAAATAATATTGAAGATGAAGAAATAAATATTAAGTTCCAGAACTACTTGACACACAGGTCAGCTCAGAGCTGAGCCTGTATCCACTGCCCAGAGTACAGACCTTCCCCCTTCACATTCTGCTCCTAGCTTTTTAAGACACCACATATGTTTCACTGGTATTTATGGAGGTTGCCCCTGGCAACCAAACAGCCTAGAGCCATTTAAAGGGGCCACACCCAGCATCTCAATTACACTCAGTTTACTGAGGAAAAAAGGAACTTGTCTTTAAGAACACTGTCATTCACATATTTGAGTTACAATGGATGGAACCGTTCAGCAATTTCCCTCCTGAGCTGATACAGTTTTCAGAATGAAAGCTGTGCAAAAAGAAACTCCTCTATGCTTGAGGATTAACCCTTTTTCAAATGCTTTATAACTGGCAAAGAAACCTATAATTTAGCCAAATTTTAACTAAACTTAATCATATTGTATTACAAATTTTAAACAAACAATATCCCCCCATACATATGAGGACACATTGTCTGGTATGACCAAGCAAAGCTTGGCACAGGATGGAGGCTGCAAAGTTAAGTGGGGCCACTTCGGCTCCTCATGTACCTTAGAGCTGCCTCACTGATGCTCTAAAATGCATCCAGCTGCCTAAAGTCACAAGAGGCCAGTTCTGGCAGCCAGGGACCCCTAAAGCTGCCTCTCCTCCTTTCCCTAAGCCACATCCTCTAACCTGCAGAAGGTCACATGAATCCTCTGGGGTCTTGTTAAGTCAGCTTAACAGCCCCTTTGCAATGGAAGGGTGCAAAGGAACACAGCAGAACTAAGAATTTGGCTGATCAGATATTTAAAAATAAAGGACAAACTCCCCTCCTCTGTGGTTGCACAGAACTAAGATGTGGGGATCCAGTATATAGGAATCATACCCCTGCCCAGCACAGAGTCCAGCTCCAGGAGTATTCCTTCCACATTCCTGTGCAGAGCAGGAGACAGCCGGGGAGGAGTGAGGGTGAGCCAGTAGCCCCTGCAGTGGCCTTGATTGTCCTACACTGAGCCTTCCTGAACTCAAATTCGGCTTGGGGCAAGCAGTGGATTTGGACGGATAAGATGAATAATGTAATTTGTATGCACAGAGCATTTGCTCACATAACTCCCTATACATCAAGATTAACATTTGCGGAAACCTCTAATTTTTTGTCTGGAGAGCAGTGATTTTTTCACAGCTGGGACAAAAATAATCTCTTAAAAGGTTTTACTTTTTTAATAAAAAGCTATGTTGGTGACATTTCCAGCCAGCAAGCTGGAAGGGCTTCCCTCCAGATTCCCACTCATGGAACACAGTGAAGAAACGTCAACTGGCTTCAGACTAATCAGACTCCTGCCACAAGCTTTGGGCTCCCCGCCCTGGAGTGCAGTGAAGACAACAGCAGCTGGCTTCATCTCTTCCGAAAGCAGTTAATCTCCAGGTAGGTTTCACTTGAGGACTAGCTAATTTCCAAGGGGTGGTTGGTCAATAATTGCAAGAAGAGGAAGGAGAATTTCCTGCAGCTGGGAAATGGGGTTAGGCTGGGACTCATATTTATGTGTCTAGTCCAGCCACACATGTCCCCCAGCCTACATAAGATTTCTCCGCAAATGCTATTTACATACTATTCCCTCCGGTTATGAAATGGCAGAAGAGCTGCAGCTTGAACTGGGAGGTCAAGCCAGCACCAAGCTGCTTCTTTGCAGAGAAGCAGGGCCACCAGCAGGGCAGAGATGGACATGGAGAATAAGGCTGCCCACCTGCTCAAGTAGTGGGGGATAAGACATCTTCTTCAGGGACTCTTGAGGAAAGGAGTAAACTGTTCCTCAGTGCCTCAGCACATAATGCTGGGAATAAACAGGGTACAAGAGGGTGTGCTCTGAAATGCAGGGCCATGACTTTTCTGTGACTTCTTAATAATAGGTTGAGACTATTCTCTAATTTTACCACAAGTCAATGTGACAAAATGGCCTCCATGTTTGAATTACAGAGAATTACCACAGAGGCAGGAAGCAGGACGCATATGCCTTCTATTGCTCTAGAGCAATAATTCCAGCTGACCTAGGAGCTGTCTTGAAGGGCACTGGAACAAGACACAGCCAGCACACCTTGGCAGGAAAGAGAGGTTGCCATGGTAGAGGCTTCTAGAGGAAAAATAAAAGGGTGAATCCTGAAAAATCTTCCCTGGAAATTAAAAAAAAAAAATCTTGCTTATAAAAAATATCTGCTGTATAAGACAACAGCCGTAAGACTTATAATTCAATGTCATAGGCAAACCATGCAATACCCAGTCACATAGCATCTCTCAACTAACTCTCAGGGCAATACTCAAGATAAAACAATAACTTAAAATATGGCTTTACAAAAAGGTGAAAC